AGCAAAATAATTCTTCACAATGTCCAATGATCTAGATATTTTAAACATAATGTAAACATTATAAAATATGTTAATTAATAGAAGTATCACACTTCTCCACCAATAGGTTTCTACAATCTATACTTTTGTTTAACATTTGAATGTTATAATTAAATTGTTCAGAAAGAAAGGAATCAAAGATCTAATGTTATAAGGTAATAAGTCTTATATAATGAAATAATCACTAAAGATACTTGTGATGTTGATGAATGTAGAAGTATACAGAGCAGTGGAAGAGAACAGCGAGTCAGTAACCACACACACATAGGACTAGTATATATCTGACAATAATTAATACCAATTTTATAGTAGAAGATAATCTTTTATCAAATAAAACATTAATATTTAGGCATTTAAATGCAAAATAATAAGCATAAACTTCTTTCTCACACTCATTTAAAATGAACACAAATATTGATCATATACATAAATGTAAAATATAAACTTTTAGAAAAATATTTGCTTGTGGCTTAGGCAATGACATTTTAGATGACAGAAAAAAGAACCAATAATTAAAATTTTTTTGTTATCTTGAAGAGCATCATAACAAATGCTTGCTATCATTGACCAATAGAGCCACGTTAGGGGTGAGACTTTGTGCCTACCTCTCCTATAGATGCTGGGATTTTGTCTGACTGCAGCTCGTGCAAATCTTGTGATTTTTTTCACAGGGAAGGGGTTGACAATGTGCTAGTGGATGGACACACACCCAAGAATTGAGGGGCAGCACAGTTAGGACTTGATTATTTTTTTAAGAACAAAAAAATGGGTGGGTGGGTAGAGATGGGAAGCAGATATGGAAGGAATTTGAAGAGGGAGGCATATATGGTCAAAATATGTTGTGTGAAATTCTCAACGAACTAATAAAAATAAGAAAGGTAAAGAGTAAACATTTGCTTTCGAAAGACAGATAGAATGTAAGTTGAGCTGCAAAAGTGAGGAAATATTTGTGAAGAACACTAGCCTACAGAAGGCAAATAATAGCCACAATGTACTAAGTAGTCTCAAAATTCACTAGAAACAAAACAAACCATGAAGAAAAAATGGGCAACATTTTGAAGAACCATTTTCAGAAAGACATGTCGATGGCAGATGAGCAGAGGAGAGGATGTTCTTCAGCTTTGCTCCCTGAGACTTGAGATGCCACCACATATCTTATAGCCTCAAGATATGTAGAAGCTTGATTCCCAGAGGCTACATATGTGAACATGGAAGTTATAGTTGCAGAAAACTGACATACATCTACAAATGATCCAGCAAATCAATCCTGCAAAGATAGAAAAGCAAGTAAAGCCCTCTCCAGGCATAAAGACTACAGAAGCACAACAACGATCAGCAGAAAGACATTTTTAATTGTGCAATAGTGACATTTATATATCAGTGGTAACCAATAGCTAT